TACATATTTTGTTTTTATATTGTGCAATGCATCGTGGGAAAGGGGACAGTATGTAGTGTGTACTGTATACGTATCAGACGTATGTATGTACGGGCAATACATAATACATAAATATAGGAAGTTACTATTTTGAAGGACAAATAGCTGACGATAAATGTGTTTGAAGGGGTCATGTGACCTTATTAATATGCATATCTGCAATATTTCAAGTACTGATGTAAATAAGAACGTAGAACCAGTGACATAATCATGGCATTCGACAACAGATACGTTTAATATATCAGATGATTATATACAGTCATGTGACCTCATTAATAGGTGTAACTGTAATATATCATGCACTGTTGGAAATAGGAACATGCAACTAGTGTCATAATGATGGAATCAAACAAGGAATATTATTGATCATATGACCCTATATGGTCATGTGACCTCATTAATATGCAAATATGTAATATTTCAAGCAATGTTGCAGATATGAACATGCAACCAGTGTCATATGATGGCATCGGATAGTCAGTTAGTTCACAAGTAAACAAAAACCAAACAAATCAATCAACAATCAGAGCATGAAACAAATGACATTAGATAAAATGTAGTTGTAAAGTTTAGTCAATGCATGTCAGAGACATAGCTCTAGAACAGCATTTTCATTGAACAGCCAGGATGAACTACATCTGTCCAAGTATAACTGAGATCTAGGTCTGGAATGACAGAAATGCTTGATTTTTAGGAATTTTTAACATTAAAATGGCCTCCATTTGGCCATACTGAATCTGATGTTCAAATAGATGTTCATATGTACGAAAATATGTATGATGTATATATAGGTTTGAATTTCAAAGCATGTCAGAGATATGGCTTTAGAACCACAATAAAGGTGTCCAAGATACACAGTGGTCAATTCGTAAGTACCTGTTTTCAGACTGCATCCAAACAGAGACTTAAAGTACACGCTTCTGTTAGACAGCAATCTTAGTTGTACTATGCTTGTATTGGTTTTTTTTGGGGGGGGTACAAAGACAACATAAATAAAAATCAAATATGCCACATCAATATTTAATCATCAAAGTGTAAGTGTTCTATTTCATACATAAATAACAAAAATCTGATACATAATTCAGGACTAATACAATTATTTTTAAGCAGTGAATTGAAACAAGATCTGGAACTGGAATTTCTGACTGTAATTTGACGTGTTTGGCTTGCTCTTTTCATAGAAGCAATTTAAATGTTGTGAGAGAATGATGTTGCATTGTGAGTATTTGACTACATATCACAGTCATCTTGCCATGTTGTGAGGTATTGTAACATATACAATGTTTATAAAATACACTGCACGATGAGAACATGGTGCATTAATGTATCAAAATACAAGACATAAAACCACCAAGTTTTGTTCTAAGATTACAAATAAATGATATCAGTATGCATAATGTACATAGATATATTCTCAAAAAAAGCACCCCCCCCCCACTGATAAATGTGAATAAACACTGCCCTCTATAGACAATGACATAAACACAATGTTTGATACATACTTGTTATACAAGAGTCTCACTGTGATTCAAATCAAATCATATTCCAGTATCTGATGCAACGATAACAATAACTCTTCAAACTCCATGTTATTTTGCCACCAATTTTTCGATATGAAATCTTTGAAATTCTCAAAAATTTCTCATTTAATTTTGAAGGAAATAGTCAAAATGTTCCAATACCCAAATGTCTTGGCTAAAAATAATTCAAAAAATATTAAAAACATGCAGGTTTATTACATTGAAATTGTATAAATTAATATAAATTTATATTTTCGGCAGCACACAATTTAGTCTTTTCAATGCTTGCCAAAATGTTGGTGCAAGATTTTGCACATTTTTATGAATTTTTTTATAATTTTTTCAATAATTTTGGACCACATAAACATGATTTATCATTTGCAGCAGGTCTTGATCACCATTTTTGAAAAAATATACGAAAAAAATTATGTTTACTCGTATTTTGTGAAAGGTTGCAAAAGATAACTATGGCATTTCAAGGGTTAACTGTAGTCATATGAGTAAGAATAAATACTGGAAAATACAATGATATTCCAAGTAGGAGATTAACTGGTGAGTTTGGTGTAGTCGTATCACATGAACGTTAAAACTCACACATCAAACACATTACACTTTGTAAACTGGATAAATACACATACAAATGTGTATTGGAAGATTTTGTAATAATTCAAAAATTAGACAGAATAAATAAATAAAAAGATTAAAATGAATAATTTCCAATCTCAAAAAAATGCTGGTAAAATCTTTATATTATTCATTGATAAAAGCAATAATGAACGAGAATCTTACGATAGACGCATCATTGCAGAGGCCAATATTTTAGTGTTAGCAGCTAAAATACGTTTAATATGATCAGAATGTACTATCCCGCTAGCAGGATTTTTTTTTGAAGTTATCAAAAATATAAATTCAGGATCATAATGCTTTTAGTTTATTAAAATGATTTTAATTAATAAAAATTCGTTTAAAACCACTGCAAATTGTGGATCAAAAAGGGTACTCTATAGGGTACCAGGGTACTCTGAATTTAAAACAAAAACAGGTCATCATTAAATGTTTAATAAACAGCATTAAAATGTCCTTACATGTGGGGAAATGATCTTGACTTCGAAGAAACGTCAGACATTTTATGATATTTGTCATATAAACATTGTACTAAGGTCATTAATGTGACCACTAGCACTGATTTATAGATTGTGGGCAATAACACCACAATACAAGTATTTATAGATTGTGGGCAATAACACCACAATACAAGTATTTATAGATTGTGGGCAATAACACCACAATACAAGTATTTAACATTTGGTGATAGATATAAACGTACATAAATTTAAGGGGGACTATTCAATCAAAATTGATATAATTATTGCTCAATTTTCTTTTTCAGAAAATAAAAATAAACCCCTATTACACTCATCTAATGCAACAATAAACAATACAATCGGGGTTTTTTAATAAAAGACTAGATTAAATAAAGCAACTCATCTAAGAACTTAGTCATCATCTAAGAAATTTAGTCTAATTACAGATTTTGATAAGTACATGGCTGTGTACCTGTGCCACCCTCTTGTTTTATTTGGAAACCATTTCCAATATTTGACACTTGTTGCTGGTCGAACTGGTTGGAGGGAAAAGATCGCGAAGGCTGTTGTTGTGTTGGCAGTGATCCAGCTCGGAGTGCAGAGAGCTGCTTAGCGGTATACCCGTTATCATTCTGAATCATCGGGATGCTGTCGATGAAGTCACCAGACAGGAAATCAGTATGAACAGTTTTTGTAGCATTGACAATGTACCCGTCGTCCGATGGTTCTTGCTTGACCTGAAAACCCATATGGTTTGGAACCATCATTCCAGGAGGCGTGCTGATGGGCTCCTGTTTTATTTGAGGCGATCCACTGCCACTTCCACAGGCTTCCTGGTTAAGGAAGGGAATATTAGCAGCATCCACGGTCTCGCTGACTTGGTTCTCAATCTTAACGGTGATGTCTTGAGCGGGCTTTTTGTCAGGTGGAGCTGTCACTGCAGGTGGAATGTTTGGAGGTAGTGACTTACGACCAGTGATACTATCACGCAATTCTTTCAACTTTAGATAGAATGGCACTTTATCAGTTGCTCTTGGAAATTGTGAGCAACGTGCACTTG